CCTCGTATATATTTTGAACATGAAATCTCTATTTTACGTCTAAATCATTAAAAAACGAATGATAAAAATTAATGCTAGCATGCTTTGTAAAAGTGTTCATAGATAAAAATCCATACATTATTTTTTTGTTAATTTTTTTAAAATTTAATAAATTTTCTTCATTTTCACGAATTTTATGGATAATCAGGGCTCTACTGTGTATTTTTACTATCGTGATCAAATATATATATAGTAAGAAATGTACAGTGTGCAAGATATGAATACATCGCTGTGAATAGCTTTTGCTCAAAGATCAAATTTTCACGTACTAAATGACAATCTCAATGTTTCCTGAGAGTAATTTCAAAATGTACTAATGAATTAGTGTTAACTATTAATTAAGTAACGAAATCAGGCACAAAAACGTATTTTCTCTGTATAAACATAGATATTTTTTTATATATTTGAGTTCTTCACCCTCAAAATAAGGGGAGTAGTCAAAATTTCAAAAACAACTTGGTCGTAAACTGAGAAGTTAGGAAAACGGATATGTCTGGCGATACTCCGAAAAAATTTATAAGCAATACTGTCGCAGAAAGTGGATAAATAACCATAAACTAATTGAATGATTAACAAGTCAGTGTTTCTCTTATTATTAAACAACTAAGATGGATTAAATGAAAGAAATGAAGCCTTTTTGAGTTTGGAGGACAAAGAAAAATAGCTTGAAGTTACTCGGCAAGAGACCTTTTTTGCTCTAAAGTAAAAAACAGAGATTTTCTTTCTTTAATCTCCTTTGAAAGTAAAATTTGGATTGGGAAATAAATTATTTACGATTTTTAAAGATTTTAAAATTTGAACTTTTTACATGACATTATTTGTGCTTTTTCTACTTTGTTTTAACACTTATATAAAAATTTCCGATTGAAACAAAATTTACAAAATTCCGTATAATTGTATGCAGAATTATTGGGTTAGTTATTTTTGCATCCCATCTCGAGACTGCCAGGCAAATTAAGTCAAAGAAGGAAGAAAAGATCTCAGCAAAAAAGGCCTGTAAGAAATTATAATTTCTCTGAGAAAAAAATTATCGTCAAATTTCCAGAATATGGTAACATTTACCGTGTTTTTGATTCTGTGATAACACTAAAAAAGCTCGGCAATTTTTTACAAAGCAATTAGGTAATGATTTCGGAAAATTAACAGTAAAATATTGTTTAATAATATGTTTTGAAATTATATGTTTAGAATATGGTATTAAATTTTGTTTACTGCAGTAAAATTTGGAAGTTTTAATCATGATACTTTCAAGCATGGCATATAAACTATTTAATGCCTAAATTATTAAATTTGGTAAAAGTTTTGTATTTTTTTACTAAATGTGAGGTAATAAGAACTATAAGCTTCAAGACCAGAATTCCCGGTAAACTTTTGCCATATGAATGGAAAATTCCCTATGATGGTTTAAATACAGTATATTCTGGTTTTATTACCAGAATTATGGTTTTTTAGACGTGAAATATCTTTTCTATATCATAATGTAATTTTTACCAGAATTGTTTCCTCCATACATGATGCACGTTTACATCGTCTTATATAATTTACGATTTTTTTTCTATATTTAAAGAACTTAGTGAATTTTAGTTAAAATTTTTTAAAAGCATTGCAATAATATTAAAGTATACATTAATATCCATTGCTTTAAAAACAATAGCTTCATTCTACCAAGTATTTTACTTACGAGGATTTTTTTTTGGCTAAAGATGATTTTTAAATATCATCCAGGTGTCTCAATACATTACGAAATAACTTTGCAAATTCACCATAAATTATTCGTGTAACACGCTCTTCTGCAAAGCGCTTTAATCGTGATCCGCATCATATTTTCCCAGAAACATGATAGCAGATTTATTTCAAGAATTCTCATTTCCCTTATCCAAATTTGCTGTGAGATTGTTTAAGTGATTAAAACGAATATGGCTGGCAGTATAAATCTGAATTTATGCAAAAAAAAAAAAAAAAAAAAAAAAAAAAAAAAAAAAAAAAAAAAAAAAAAAAAAAAAAANTTTTTTTTTTTTTTTTTTTTTTTTTTTTTTTTTTTGGAAAATTACATTTCTACACAAACTTTTAGGAATCATACTACGAGATAGGGTCTGTGATATTTTAGGTATTTTTTCGAAGGGCTTAAAGAGAAGTTTGAAAAATGAATTGATTTTTATTACAGGACCACTAACAAGCTTCACAGGAATTGAAGGATTAGCCTGGTTTAATTCCAAGTATAATAATCCTGAACTTGATTGGCCAGATTTGAATATTCATTTATGGGGTTTCTCAGATGCAAGTCACCCAGGAAGAGTTATAAATCATGAAGTACGAAATTAATTATCCCTATTAATCAATTTAACATTAACCACATTACTTATATATTGTTACTAAAGTCGAAGGATACATTAGATTTAATTCTTAGTTACAATGTGCTAAAATTGCTACAAAGCGAGAATGAATAAACGGAGATGGATACATAGATCACATTATTAAGTCATACAATTGATTGTTGATATTCAGAACATTAAAGTAGTAGTAGTAGTAATTCATATATAATGCGGCTTTGAGGAGAACTTCTCCAAAGTGAAAGTCTGGGGCTGTCTGCTGCTATGGTAACAAGCGAGAGCACATTTCTGATGGGGGTGAAATGGAGGAAAGAAGGTGTCGATTGGTTTACTCACGACGACCTCCGCTAAGATTAAGACAAAACTATTCACCCCACACACCTATTCGAAGTGACCTTTCCTAGTAACCATAGTTCGCGCCACGACGCGTGACGAGTGTCTGGAGGAGTTCTCCTGAAAGCCGCACTATGCGTCTCACTAAAGCTTCCCAATGAGCTATTGGCGACTGTCTGGGAGACATTCCAGAGGATGATCCGAAGACATGCCATCACAATTTTGATCCTCTGCAGAATGGATGGTACACCCGCTTCCGTAGCTCGACCACCAACACTCGAAGTCCAGGACTTTACGGTAGAACAGTTTAACGAGGACCAATACAGCACTCCCTCGGTCCCTATGCATACTGATCCAAGTGGTCACCCACCCTCACCCTGATCGCAGCGAATCATGCTTGACTTCGGTGATCGGCAGAAAACCGAGTCTTAACGATCAGTGCAGCGCGGGACCAGAGCAATAAAGTAGAAGCAATTTAGTATTGTTGAAAGTATATATTAAGCAATTACGAGCACTTACGTGAAGGTTTCATTCTTAAGGGCAACTTACGAGGATGTTCCATTGGTGGAAGTACAAATCAATAATGATCTACGAAAATTTTATATTGTTAGAAGTAAATAAAAAGTATAACTTACAAGACTATATTTATTGGTGAAAGAAACAATAAAACATAACAAATGTTTGATTCTTTAGAATCGTTGATTTCAAATCTGTATTTGGTTTCCCTCACTGAGCTACTTTTTTTTAATAAGATGTAATATTTTGGTTTTATTTCGTCAATAATAGCTTGGAGAAATTTTTACGTCTTCCTGAAACATGTAATGTTTTTTGAAACTTATGTTGTGTAAAAGAGAAAGGAAACCAAATACATTTCAACATATATAGTACAACCATATATGCAGCAACTTGTTAAAAAAATTAACTTTGACTATTTTTCATGGCAGTTTAGTACAAATTCCTTACTGTATAGTGGCTGTAGTTTCATTGTAGAATTTAAGTATAGTATTTGGAAATATGAGATATACCTGAATTTGTTGTGAAGAGGAGATATTTATCCCAGAAAAATAAAGCAAATAGTTCAGGAAAATTTAATTTTTATTGTAAATCTTATTATGATGAACTTGACCACATTCCAAAATTATAAAATAAAGAAAGAATGTCCCTTAAAGGAATCAAGAGAATCATTCTTGTTTTCTCATCAAGAAAAACCGTTAATTTGGTCTCAGGCTAAGGGCATAGGCCCCTAGTCCTTACACCAAGAATTCAAAAATGAAAAGTAAATCAAACATGTAATAAAAATTAAATAACAAATTTAATTTAATTAAAATTCGATTAAGAATGATTTAAAAAAATAATTTATGAGATTAAAGAAATTTGAAAAGCTAGGAAATATGCAATCCAATTATTGCATCACAGTTTTATGTGGTGATGTTCAGTTCATCACCACACACATTAAGATAAGAATAAAAATGAATAACAATTAAAAATAATATACTCTTAAGTAAGAGAACAAGATCATTAGAATGATCACTAATTGCAAGGTGTTAAAACTATTTATTTAATATCGATTATTTAAGATATTTAGAGTTACAAATTTTGTTCCAGGAAGGCATTCACTCCAATTAATAATAGGTACATAGAAAAATTTAACATGAAATTATACATTATGAAGCTGCACTGCTAATATATAAAATTAATAAAAATTAATTAAGGGGTGATAGAAAATTCTATAATATAACTTAGCTGTTGAGGATCCTCATATTTTTGTGTCTTAACCTCAGCTCTCCAAAACCATGTGTCCTCTGCTTTTCTCTCACCTCCTCTAACCAAGCCCCCAAAGCATACTCAACTCTTATTGGCTGTTACCACCATCACAAAATAAGTAGGGCTATACTTGCTATTTCTTTTCTATTTTATTTTTGGTTAAATTATTTAAGGGCAGAAAAGGGCAGGTGAAAACTTATGAAAGAGAAACTAAAACTTTAAAGTAATTATAGCAGTGCAGAGCAGTGCAGCAAAGATAAAAGTAACAAAACATCATAAAAGCAATACCACATATATATAAAAGTAACAAAACATCATAAAAGCAATACCACATATAATAAAAGTAATCTATATATATATTTCTCTTATTGGAGTCTGACGTTGAAGAGAAGTGAGGTTGGAGAACTGAGTGATCAGGATGAGCAGTGTGTCTGTTAGGAAAGTTCAATTCAGTAAATTAACATGAAGGTGTTGTGTTTTATGGATGAGGTTGCAGCAGGGATCAATAATGCATATAGGTATCATGAAATATTATTATTTTTTTTTAAGACAATGGCTACCACCCAGCTGAGCATTTACCAATGAAAAGCGAAACAATCAAGAGATATTTGTGGCCTTATGATGCCTCAGGAGTGCCTATCTTTCACACGCCATTGAAGAGCTCAGAAGTTAGAGGGGCCGGCACGATTATCTGGCGAGGATTCAGCAAACACTTTCACTTTGAGACAGATCCAGTCACAGGCAACAACTCAGCAGTCACTTCCATAGGACTGATCCACTCAGACTCCCAACCAGACTAATTCTGAAAGAGTTCCACTTAAACATCCTTAAAGTTCACATTAAATTGCTTTTAGTTCAGTAACATGAAGAGATTTAGTCACGAAGCTTTCTCGATTATCATGATAAGCACTTTACACATACACAACATAAAGAATTATAATATATATATACAATGACAAAAACATAGTATAAAATAGCACATTAAATACACATTATTACAAAGTAGTTACACCCTTTTATTTTTTTACAAATCCCTGAGGATCTCTAGGTCTGAGATTATATCTCGGTTCTACCACATCTGACGAATCAGATTCTGATAAAGAATCATTTAAAAATGAAACGGGTGAAATAGATGTATCACGAAAGAAATCATATGAAGAATTACTTTCTTCACTTTGAACATCTGTTTGTACATCACGCATTAATTGAGCCCAACAGGGTTGTGATACAAAATAACCAAAACTTAGTAATTCTTTCTCATTAATGGGCTTCATTAAGGCAGGATATAAATTTTTATCCTCAGCAGGGTGTCTAACCTCACACCCTTTAAGGTTATCACTAATTACAGAATTTTCTTCCTCAAATATGGAAGACGATGGAAATATTTCTCACTCTGGAATTTTTATTATACGATTGACAT